AACAGAGATGTCAAATCATATATAACAGAAACTCCACAAAAGGCAAAGTTTACACAAACTCAGACAATGATAACTACCTCCTTATTTAAAATCCTGCTTCATCGCTGGCAAATTTTTTTTAACCTCAATTAATAAGAGATATGCCATGTTCAGAAAGCATCCTGTATCCAGGAAGATTAAAACATGTGGAGGGGGTCTTAAAACCAAGAAAATGCAGTACATAGGCAAAGAGCAAGTTTATAACTTAAAATGAGAACCACAACCATCTGGAAAGTCACAGTATCTATAGAAGGAAAAAGTACATTTTTTCTTACATGGAAAGCCAGGCCAGTAGAAGGCTGCTTGTACACACGGGAATCCAAGTCTGACTGCCTGGTGCAATGTTATCTTCAACATTTGAGTGAGTCTGTACATTACATTCTCTGGCAGACTGCACAGAAGGAGGGAGCCTTTTTCCTCACTTCCATTACAAAATGAGTTCCCTTCCAAGTGACTCAATCTTTCTTCAAATTTGTTTACTTTGACAGAGTGATAGTCACATCTTACTCTGTCCACAGAGTCAGGTTTATTCCTGATGATTCTGAAAAGCTCTGCTTTGATTCACTGATAAGTATAATAAACAACTCTTAAGTCACATGTCCTCCAGGTACACATGCACACACATAGTACCAATTGCCGATGAAGCAAAGATTTCTTTAAATACGAACCTTACTGCCCTCAACTGCACTCCTGCAAACTAAAATAAAAACTGAAATTTACAGGACACAAAACAAGCTATCATCTAGTGAACTTTAAAGTCCAATAAAATGAAGAGTAAGAATTTGCTAACAATATTTATTTCATCTTTTGGTTTTGGATCTGAAACACTTCAGAAAATGAGGAACAAAGAAATGAAGAAAGACTCTATGCCCATAAAATTTATATTAAGTTCACAGACTACACAACAATTAGGTCCATAAACTAAACAATGAAGCACACAGAAAAGGGTAAAGTATATGAAATAGGCAGTGATGACAGACAGAAGCAGAAAAATGTTCACCTTTAGCCCAGAAGGCTGGTCTACAGCCTGCATAGTTCCGATAAGGATCAAATATGGACTGGTTGCTACATTCTTAAAGGGTCTCATGACTGCTTGTATATGTCACACAGAGCTAATATCAAGCTGAATGATAAGTACCAGAGAAATCTTGTGAAAGTAGTTTTATGAGCAGAAATTTTAAGAGAACATTTATGATCTAATACTCCCTGCAAGCCCCCTCCCCCTTGAGCACTAAGCATCTGCCCACCAGCTTAACACTGCAGAGTGCAGCTCTTTCTGCCCGCGGGTCCTGTCCCCGTGCTAAATAAACTTACTCTGAGTTGCACAGTAAAATGTCTCATGTGTTTTTTCTTAACCCTCACGGCACACTCAGTGATCATGCAACAGGCAGTCCCTGACTTAAGGGCAATCATATAGATGAACACTCACTGTGGCACTATGAATTTTTTTCTATCCTGCCAAAACACCACCTGCAGTAGATAACCACTCACATCATTCTGAATCATTCCCTGCCAGACTGCCTTGGGCCTCCTACCTGAACCTCTGCCGAGCCAGCTGCCTCAACCCTGAGCGCTTCCACCTAGCCAATTTTCTTCTTCAGTTACCAAGACTTGCGTATTTGCATATAGTATTACATGTTAAAAGGAAAAAAAACAACAACAACACGAAAATCATTGTGAGCTAGTCTGGAAACCAAACCAACATCTCTGTGAGTATAAATCTGAAACTCCGAATCACCAGTTTATATTTAAATTTCTGAAATTCATCCTATTCTAGAGTTTGACTATACGCAAACAATGAATCATGGAACACTACATCAAAAATTAATGATGTAATGTAAGGTGATTAACATAACATAATAAAATAAAATAAAATTGTTTGACTATAAATATATCCAGCCTGAAAAACATGCCCAACTAATCTCCTTGCTGTGAATATTTACACAGTTAAATTAATACACATTTAACAAACAAACTTCAAAATTTCAGTTCTAGCTAGTCTAGGAAAGGTTGTAAAAGGTAAAATAAGCACCATGCTGAATAAAATTCTCATCTGACTATCAACACAATTTAGAGGCCCCATCTCTCTGATGCATCTCTCTTTCTATAGAATCGATTTTTAGGAATTCAAATATGAAGTTATATAAGAAGCCCAGGTGACTGAAGATTCTCTGACTCAACTTGCTCTAAACTTTATAGTAATGATTGATGAAATTTGGGAGACTGAAGCGTAAGAAAATATACTACCACAAAATAAGCCTCTTTGGTATAAGGATTATTTTAAAGAGAATGAAAAACAACAGACCCAGGAGAAGCTCTGAAAACACAGTAAACGTTATCCTTTTGTAAGGGAAATTTACATTCATGAAGGAAATCTCCTTTGTAAGAGTGTCTCCCTTTCAACACCAGGAAAAGGCTGACTCTAAATCATAAGAGAATATTACAAGAGAATCTTATCAGTGGAGAAGGCACCCAGACTTAAATATGCATAACAAACCCCTTGTTTACCATGATTTTCCTGGTAACCTCCCATAACTAGCTGCTCCCAACCCCACCCTCACATTCTTTGTCTTTAGCACTAGAAGGTATTTAAATCCACATTCTAAACCATCTCAGAGATTTGCTCCCTGCTCCCAGGGTATCACCCATGTATACAAGACTTAAGCATGTTGAACTTTTGTTTGTTTTTCTCTTATTAAATATCTGTCTTTTATTAGAGGTCTCGGCCAAGAACTCAGAAGGGTAGAACGATTATTTTTTCCCCTCGCTACAGGGTTCTGCCCTCAAAACAGCCTGGTGTAAGAATTCCCAGACTGTAATGGGGAGGCATACTGCCCATCAGCCACCACTCTCTAACCTAAATCAGCCCACCGAAACAACTCCTTTTACCACAGCTGGCCACTATCTCATTTTTAAAACTTCAAGAGCCACATATAATTTTTATGAAGAAGCTGTTTTGGCTGCTTGTTTTGAATGTTTATAGTTAATATATATTTAACAAATTAAAACATTTCAGATCTACCTACCATAAAGTAGGTAGCCATTCTTAAAAATATTTGCAACTTTATTTGCTTTTCTCATTAAGTTTACTACTGAATTGGAAGACTATTAAATATTTAAGACCTAAATTCTTGGTTTACAGTGTTCAATAACAAAAATTCAACTGAGTAAATTTTAAAGATCTAATTGGCTTTATTAATCAATTCATGCAGCATCCTGTCTAGCAAGTAAAGGGGAGCTCCAAAGGGCTACAAGGAAAGGTTTTTAAAGGTAGAGAGGAGGTGGAAAAAAGAAAATTATTAGCAAAGAATCCATTGTTTTAGGCAAGGTCACCCTTCTAAGGGGAACTGAAGAGATCTATCAGATTTCCTAGCGCTGACCAGGAAATTCTCATGTTGACTGGTTTAAGGTTACATTTTGGGGTGGGGGTGGGGGGCTGAAACTGCAGTTAGGTTAGGTATAAGTCTTGGTTTACTGACTTGGTGCCTTGACCTAAGTGACACCATTTTGGGCCTGTGGATTCCTTTTTAAGAACACTATCCCCAAGCAGAAGGTTACATATTGGTTCCTGAAGGTATCTTCACGACACCAAATATGTGAGCTAGTAAAAAAACTTTGACTTGAGCCCAGTTAAATCAGGAAATTAAAAACTGCTAAATATCAACATTCATAAAGACTGCAGCATATATATATATATATCACACAATAAGTAAATGTACAGAATACTAAGGTTATGTGCAAATATAGAGTCAAGGAATTAACATCTGTGCTTTCAAAGTTCAAGGCTAGACTTTAACATTCAAGGGTTTTTATTTTTAAGACACCTGCAATAAACATAATAATTATGGAGAGTAATAAGATAATGGAGTACAAATGAGAAACAAGCCCCATCACTTTTACCTCAAATTTTGAGACTGAGAGTATTTTTTTATTTTTTAAGTAACTGAATTTCAATTATATTATGCAAAGTACTCAATTCAATTTCACAATGCAGAAAGGTTTGGATTTAATCAACAGGTACATTTACTATTCAAAGGAATTGCTACAATCTCCTTTTACTTATTCGTTGGGAAATAAATGGGAAAAAAAGTTCTACTGTCACTACTATGACAGTGTGGCTAAAGCACTACTCTATTACAGAGAGATTCCTAAATCAGTTTGCAAAAACGCTAGTCAGGGTAAAATGTTTATGTCGATAATATCGATAAATATTTATTGATAAATACCAATAAATATCGATAAATCGCACAATATCGATAATATCGACATAAGCTACTCCCCACCCCAGCATTTTTGTAATCCGGGGAGATATCTCAAATTCTTAACTGAGTGCTACTACATTGATTAATCTCTGGCTGATGCTCGGCTGTAGGATCCATCTGTTTTATTCACTGCTGTATCCCAAGTTCCTAACACTACACCTCATACTCCACAGGTTCTCAAAAGACATTTATTGAGGGGTGCCTGGGTGGCTCCGTGGGTTAAGTGACCAAACTCTTGGTTTTGCGGGAGTCATGATCTCCCAGCATGGGCCTCCACGCTCAGCACAGAGTCTGCCTGTCCCTTTCCCCACCCTCTGCCCCTTCCCCAAATCATGCACTCTCAAATAAATAAAATCTTTAAAGAAAAAAAAGACATTTGTTGAATGAAGTCAACCTTGCAATTGGCTTCACTGTTTACTGGTGCTCTTCCTACTCCTATTCCTACTTCCTATTTCAAACCAAATATTAAATTTGAAAAATCCCTGAAATTTCTTGTAGACTTTTGAAATTTGTCTATTTATGAAATTTTGAAAAAAGCCAGGAATGAACTATATGATTTTTTTTCAAGTCTATTTCAAAATGTACCAAGGCTACACTGAAAAATCTGCCCTTTGCCTTTTAAATTTTACCTGAAACATAAAATTCATAAAATCTAAGGTAATTCTAATTTAAAATCGCATTTTAAAGCACTGGACTTACCATTATAGGTTATTCTTGGCTTTGTTAAACACATCACAAGATGCAAATCCATTTCATCTGAAGGTACAAATTTTGAGCATACGGGGCACTTAAATCCTAAAAAGTAAAAGAAACCCATTTTACTCAATTATTCTGATTATCCAATTCTATTTTTTAAAAAAGCAGCAAAGACAAAAAGCATTTCAAATTTCAGTATTATTCTTACAGTAATACACTACTTAATTCCAAGTTAGGTTGGGGAAGGAGTTTTGTAACTATAATAACTGACTTCAATCAATTTATAAAGACCATCCCATTTCAAATGAAACAAGTACAAATGAGAAGAATTAGGCTCACTATGAAACTCCCTTATCTTTTTCTAACGTATGGGTCCAATCATTCTTGTTTCTAATTTTTTACATTAACCTGAACTTCTGAATTTGTGGAAATTACCCTTCCAGCTTAGTAGGGCACAATTTGAGTCACAAGGTTTTACAGCTAGACAGTACTTTAGAAACTATTCTACTCCATGGACCTTTTAAAAATTATTCTGAAATTGGCAAAATCAGGTCTAAAAGCTAAGACTCCTGTCTTCCAGTAGTGATCTTTCTCTTACACTATGCTACTAAAGTCACAATGCCAACCAAAAATGGCATCATATAGGGCAGATTTCCCAGTCAACTCTGACACTTAAATATTAGTTTCCTACAATATTCCATCTGCACCATTTGCCTCATGCAGTCTATTAAAAATAAAGTGGTATACTGAACGAGAGAATCGGCTATACATTCAGCTCAACCCTACTCCCTCACTTACCAGGGTACCCGTCCTATCTATGGTTCCTTACAGTTGCCCTGCTGCCCTACTTCTCCCTCTCTGACATCCCGAAGCAGATGGAGTAGCATTGGACACCTGATTCAAGATAGCCAATTTATAGTTTGGCTAGGAACAACAAACCAGAAGCGGCACAAAAAGATGGTCTGGGCCAATCTGTTTTTCTTGGAAATATGACAGGAAACAGCAAGAGAGTACACTTGCTAGCTGTAAAGAGCTGAGGCAGAAAGGGCACATGTAGGTTAGAGAGAGACCAGCGGCTCTGTAAGCTGAACTTAGAAGAGAACAGAAACCAAGGGCCAGCAGAGGAAAATGGTTTGCATGGAGACTGAGGAGCAGATGTGCAGAGAGGAACAGAAGTGCCGTGAGAGACAAAAGCTAGTAAGAAGGTTAGTGAAAGAAACCAGTCCCTAACACTGCCTCCGAGTCTGACAGCTCTATACTTCCAGCACATGTGTGTTCTTAGAGGCGTTCTCCTCCATTCATTGGGACTTAAAACTCACTGTGACCAAATGTGTCAGACTAGAATCACACTTCATGCAGAAATTTATACAAATCAGGAAAAGGTTCTGGCATGGGTACTTAATCCAGGTACGATTTTGAACACTGTTTTGACATTGTAGTAAATGCATTTTAAAAGAAAGGAAAAAAGGTATGTTTACTTCCCCTTCTTGAAAACGACCAAAATGAAAACGAAGAAAGAGGAAATTCATTTAAAATGAAACTATAAACTAGCTATAATCCCCAAATACCAATATAAGGAAATTTAAGTCAAATGGGGAGAAGACAGAGACTCTCAAGTGTCATTCATATTTCAAGGACCAACAATCTTTTGCTTGGAACTGTAAAAAAAAAATTCTTCCCTTGAAGTTAAAAAGGGCATAAAAGAGGAAAAGAGGCAACCAATTTTCTAACTACTGATCAGAATCATCTGATAATAAATCTGATCATAAACTCTAAATTATCAAAGTACAATACTGTGAACTACTGACAGCTATCCAACCGCTCACAAAGTAGAGCCAAAGGAGAGAAAACTTTGTGCAAAGAACCACCTGGATTTCTAGTTAAATACAATAAATTAACGTATTTCTTTCTCCTCCCATCTAAAACCCACTGAAATGAGAACAAAATAAAAATAAGATAAAGAAGAACTTGAAAGGAGATAGCAGATGAGAAAACAGACATCCCAAGTGCCTGTGGAAGTCAGTCAATTCTCACTACCTAATTCTCAAAGGACTCCAAAATCTATACCTCCAAATGACTTCCCAAGACAATGGTGAGGCATGACGTTAAAATCTAGTTTGATTCGGGCTGGGGAAAAAACAAACAAAAAAAACCCCCTAGATCCTCAATCCATGACATATAGCAACTACAAGAAACTACAGTTCCCCAAGTATAGCAGGAGAATGAAGCCTAACTATAAAATAAAAGACCCAAAACAGAGTGACTTGAGGACCCCAGGCACAGCAATGGGAAGGGAAGAAAACACAGGAATAAAAGATCTATGTACAGGGGCGCCTGGCTGGCTCAGTCATTAAGCATTTGCCTTCGGCTCGGGTCATGGTCCCGGGGTCCTGGGATTGACTCTCACATCAGGGAGCCTGCTTCTCCCTCTCCCACTCCCTCTGCTTGTGTTCCCTCTCTTGCTGTCTCTGTCAAATAAATAAATCTTAAAAAAAAAAAAAAATCTATGTATAGAAAAGGGCCCATCTGCCAATTTCCTTTTTTCTCTTTACCAAGAAACTGGTAGATTCTTCTCTTAAATCAAAAGGTCCCACAGAATAAAACATCAAGACCCTTGTCTATGGATAAGCCCCAGCCTTAAACAAAAAGCTTCCAATCAGCTTCTCAGGGCCTCGCTCATAAACATAATGCAATAAAAGAAAAAAATTTGCATGGTTAAAACACAACACAGCAGAAGCAAATCCAAAAGACATAAATATTTACAACATGTATTACAAAAGGACAATATCCTTAATACATAAAGCCAATCTAAAAAGGCTACACACTATATGATTCCAACTATATGACATTCTGGGGGAAAAAAAAACTATGAAGAAAAAGATCAGTGGTTGTCAGGGGTTGGAGGAAAGGGAAGAAAAAATAAGTGAAGTATAGAGTATTTTTATAGCAGTGAAACTATTATGTATTGTAGATATATACCATTATACATTTTCCCAAACCAACAGAATGTACTACAGCAAGATGAACCCTAACATAAACTATGGACCTTGGGTATTAATGATGGGTCAATCTAGGCTCATTAATTGTAGCAAATGTACCACTATGGTGCAGGATGTTGATAGTTGGGGAGGTTGCATGTGTGTAGGGAATAAGGGTTATATGCGAACTCCTGTACTTTCCTTTTAAGTTTTGTTGTGAACTAAAAGCGCTCTAAAAATAAAGTTTATCAGTAAAAAGTTAAAAAAAAAAGAATTCTTAAAAAATTGTGGAAAATCAAATACCAGTTAGAAAAATGGGCAAAAGTTTTAAACCAGTATTTCACCAAAAGGATATTCAACTGACCTTTAAACAAATGAAAAACTGCACAGTGTCAGAACTGAAGAAGCACCTTCCTCTTAAGTTCTTTTTCTTTATTCCCATTTTAGTGGGTTTTAGGAGGGAAGAGAAAACACGTATTTAATTCACTTTATTTAACTAGAAAGCCAGGTCAATTCTTTGTACATACCATTTTCTCTCCTTAGGTTTTAATTTTATCTCTACATTAAGATATCACTACTTACCCCAGATTGGCAAAAACTCAAAAGCTTGACAACATACTGTTGGTGAAGCTGTGAGGAAACAGGTACTTTCATACACTGCTAGTAAGAATGCAAAATTTTACAAGCTCCACAGAGGGCAATTCGGCAATATCTAACTCGATTACATATGTCTTTATCTTCCGATCCAGCAATCCCATTTCTAGCTTCTCACTCTGAAGGTGTGTCCCCAAAACACAAAAAGCCCATGCACAGATAGATGATTCTGAGGAGACAGTGGAGCAGGAAGCACTGGTAGAATTGTCCTCCCCACTGAAATAATGGCACTGGTGGCATCTGAGGGAACTCTTTTGGAACTCTGGAGGTTAGTGAAGGCTTGCAACTTCCAGGCAGAAGACCTGGACAGTACACCGTGGTAAATTTCAGCTCTGAGCACAGTGACAGCCACCCTTCCCACCATACTCCACCCCCAGCCACATGACAGGCAGCAGTTACTTCTTCTTCGAGCAGCTTAAACATAGCTTGCAGGAACCAGGCTGGGCTAGAGGACTCTATCCTCCAAATGCTGGGACTTTGCACTCTGATTGCTGCTTCCGATCCAAGAGGTACAGACACAGAGAAGGGTAATCATTGCTGTCAGACCTTCTCCATTGTTAGCCCTCCCACTCTAGCCGAAGAAACCTCAAGGGGATTTAAAAGCCTATGCCCTTCGCCCACCTTTATTTCTCACTTTTCCCCCTTTTGGGAGCCCAACATTAAAAGACTAGGAAATTAAAAAACAACTATACATACAGCGGAAATTAGAAAGACTGTGTATACCCAGGTAGGTCTCAGAGAAGACCATACGTTTTTACTTCAGGCTGATGATCCTCACCAGAGACAACCTATAATACCCCCCCAAAAAACAATAATAAAAAATAGCAGACACTGGGGAAGGGGGAAAATCTGATTTCTAAAATTACATTATTAGATTCGAATAACCAGTTTTCAGTAAAAAACAAAACAAATCCTAAGCATACCAAAACATACAGGAAAAAAAAAACAAAACTCTAAGCATACAGAGAAGTTTGGCCTTTAAAGGAAAAATAAAAAAATAAAACAGAAACTGTTCCTGAAAAAGCTCTGATGGCAAATATGCTAGCCAAAGATTTAAATGCCTAGCTTAAAGATGCTCAAAAAAATAAAGGAAGATGTAGAGAAGGTCAGGAAAATATGATCAAATATGAACAAAATGGAAATATCAATAAATAGAAAACCTAAATAGAAACCTAAACAGAAACCATACTAAAACTAAACAGAAACCGTAAAAAAATTCTGAACCTGAAAAGTATAATAACTGAAATGAAAAATTCACTAGAGCAATTCAAAGGCAGATGTGAGCAGGAAGAAATAATCCATGAACTTGAAGATAGGACAGTGGAAATTATCGTGTCTGAGGAAAAGAAAAAAAAAGACTGAAGAAAAGTGACCATAGCTTAAGGGACCCATGGGACACCAACATGCAGAGCAACATATGCACTGTGGGAGTCCCAGGAGAGACAAAGGGGGAGAGAATATCTGAAG